ACACTTAACATATGTGCCACCATTCCTATGTATTACTTTGACATTTTTTTATATTTAATTTCTTTTATTATTTTTTATTTTGATATTTTTAATTGTGCCTTCCTTAAATGCATAAACTTATATATTTAAATTTCTTCATAAAATATTTGGCACCGAATCTCTAAATGGAAACATAATTAAATTTAAAGCTTATTTTCATAACATAATCACAAAGTGAAAAATTAATAATGATTAAATATGGTAATATTAAGTTTGGCCATGTTCTCTAAATGGAAACATTTTTAAATTGAAAGCTTCTTAGATTAGAATTATTAGACGATAATAATGACTAAGTACGGTAATTTTATTACACAGTATATTATTATCATTCTTCTTACATGGTAATAAATTAATAATGATTAAATACGGAAATATTGTTACACGATCGATATATTAATATTATTATTCTTGTTACACGGTAATACATGATCTATTCTTATTACACGGTGATTTATAATTTAATTATCATTTATTTATTCAACGCTTACTATATGTACCACCATTTATATGTATTACTTTGACATTTCTTTTAGATTTGATTTCTTTCTGAAAAGGAAACAAATAGTTTGTATGATTAAAATGATTTGTTTCTTAATTGGAAATTATATAAATTACGAAATTGTAAATTTAATGCATTGATTAAAAAATTTACACCTTAACATGATTATTACCTTTTATGGAAAAATCTTATTTTTAGTTGAATGGTAATCATTTTTTATTATATCAATTCTAATTTTATAAAAAAGTTCGGTATTAGAAAAGAAGTTTATATAAATAATATTTTTTATATTTTGTTTCCTTTTTAGAAATATATTAGGCATGCGAAATTTCCTTTAAATTATCATTATAAATAAGAATAGAGTAATTAAGTAATTATGCATGCGAAATTATTCTAAAAAGGAAACAACGTAGATCTTGCTTGCAAAATTAGTCCCTTCCTTTTTTATCAGAATTAAGTAATTATGCATGCAAAATTTCCTTTAATTTATCATTTCATTATTCTTAAAAGTATTTCCTTTTAAGAATAAAGTGATTAAGTAAATAATTACCTATTTAATTAGGCATATATAATTACTTTTTGATAAAATAATCGGGCGTAAATTATTCCAAGTAATTATAATAATAATAGTAATAATTAGGCGTAAGTAATTACCTATTTAAAAAGAAAACAAAATATAAAAAATCTCCTATACCGTCCCTTCCTTTTTTATCACAATCAAGTAATTAGGTGAAATTGGTTAGGAAACAAATTACTTCATTCCTTTTTTATCAGAATAAAGTGATTATGCATGCAAAATTTGCTTTAATTTATCATTCTAAATAGATAATATTACACAACCAATCATATCCTTAATATTGACAGTGCAGGAGATGAGTGCATTGGGCGGGAAAATAATTCTCATGCTTTTAAGAATAGAGTGATTGGGAACACTTTATTAGATACAATAAAGACACAAAATCACAACTGATTATAGAGATAAACCAAAAAAACGAATTGACAACATCTAGTTTACATGCAAGAAAGAATTTCTAGCATCATCAAATACTTTTAACATATTGAACAAGTTTTCTACCGTATTAAGTTCATACACTTCAAATGATGACAAATTCTTCTTATTTTATAAATCATAATATACAAATATCATAGATCAATTGAGATTTTAAAAAATTAAAAGATCTTTATATCAGTCTATGAGAAGTGCGAGAAGATTCACATTTCATATGTAGACTTTAAAATTATAGAAGCATAACTCTTCAATGATATGATCACTATTTTATTTCAAAAAATTAACTAATCCACTTTTATATTTTAGGAGACAATAGTTTATACATAATATTCTAACATATTGTGATGGCTTTTGAGAATCATATTGACTTACAAGTTTTAGATTATTTTCTCAGTTTAGGTATATTAACAATGTTATTGGGTGGAATGGTTGCATTATCTCTTAAAACATGCAAATACTTTTACAATTAAAGCATATTCATTCAAGATTCTTTCAAGTGCAATATAGATATTTGATATTTGAGGAGTAAGGTATTCATTGAAATCTCAACAAAATCGTGTGTAAAGTCTAAATTTTATCGACTAAGTGACATGTATCACCTACTAAGACAAATAATAGGAAATTTCTCTCAACATATCATCACATATAGTTACACGTCCATTGGACTTTGAGAAAAAAAAAGGTTCAAATGAATTTTTAAGTAATATTATGTATTTTTTTACCCCAATCAAATTTTGTAAACAATTCAAAATTTGACATTGAAATAACGGAGGTGTTCTCATAACATGGGAATCTCATGTCACGGGATGACCTAAAAGCGTTCCAGTGCCCTGTCCGTAAAATTGATGATTCCTACCCCCAATCTTCCCTACCACGTCTTGACCCGAACACATTCTTCACTCCCTTCAATTGCACTCCCAAGTTAATTTTGACTTTGAAGTCAAAATTGATTCAAAAGTTAAAACTAATTTGAGAGGTGCATTGAATGGAGTGAGAGGTGTTCGAGTTGAGTTAGTGTGAGGGATTTATCAGGGATTAAAAGTAAGAATCGTTAATTTTAAGAACTGGACACCACCATCTTCTGTTTACATGGCTAAAAATGTCAAATGTTTTTATACTACCTCCGCTTCGTCCTAAGTCCGGATATTGGCAGTATTTCACTATTTCCTGAAATAAAATGGCACAGAAAGGAGGGGAAGTGGTCTGTGTTACCGGCGGCAGCGGCGGCATTGGCTCCTGGCTGGTCCGCCTCCTCCTCGACCGTGGCTACGTCGTCCATGCCACCGTCAAAGATCTCAGTGAGCTTCTCCTTCTTTACTTCTCAATCATCATATACACTTTGCACCAAATTCCTTAGTTCTGAAATTACTTCTGCGAAACCCTTTCCTGTTTTCCCTCTTGTGATCGCGAAGAGGATCAGAAGGAGACGAAGCATTTAGAAGCAATGGAAGGAGCCGATTCGCGCCTCCATCTCTTCCAAATCGATCTCCTAGACTTCAATTCCATCTCGGCCGCCGTTACCGGCGCTACCGGCGTTTTCCACCTCGCTTCCCCCTGCATCGTTGAAGACGTCCACGATCCCGAGGTGATCTCCGCCTACCTCCAATCGGAGAGTGATACTTTTGATTAAACACTGATAATTGCGTACTGGCCCGCTTGATTCACAGAGGGAGTTGCTGGATCCGGCGATCAAAGGCACTATCAACGTACTGACGGCTGCTAAGGAGCTCGGAGTCCGGCGAGTGGTGCTGACGTCATCCATTTCGGCCATAATTCCTAGCCCTAACTGGCCAGCTGATGTTGTGAAGAATGAGGATTGCTGGACGGATATCGAATACTGCAAACAGAAAGGGGTAAATTTCTCTACATGATAGCCAATTAGTTGTTCCTTTTATCACTATTGTTACTATTATTTGGAATCCATTTTATTATACTTTCACAATCTTAAGTAATCAACCAGACTTCCATTGAAGAACACATAGAATATAAGTTCAGCCAGTGTTTTCTGACTTCAATAAGCTTCGTGCTATACTAGACATCACAATGAAAGATTAGCTTATGTATATCATGAAGATTCATGACCACGCGTCCACTATATTGACTTATATGAATATTGTGTTGTGTTAGAGATGGTATCCACTTTCAAAAACACTTGCAGAAAAGGCTGCCTGGGAGTTCTCTAAGGAAAAGAATTTGGACATTGTTGTGGTGAATCCTGGAACTGTGATGGGTACTTATATATCCCCAACCCTCAATGCAAGCATGATAATGCTTCTTCGTCTGCTTAAAGGTACCTTTAACATCAGGCACTGGAATTTACTTGAATCTCCCATACTCTCTCCATCCCCTGAACAAAGAACTGTTTTTGATTAATCAAAGCCAATTTTTCATGTGATTTGAGAACTGCATTCACAATAAAGAATGTTTAGCTTCCTTAGCCAAAAGTACTTGACATTGTTTACTTACCTTTTACCCTTTTCTGTTATTTTCATGGCCTCTTTGCAATTGCCAAGTACTCCGTATTAATTTGTTTGTCCCCATCTTAAATTTGAAAATTGAGTTAAAGAGTGGGTTATGGAAACAAAAAAGCATAGCAAGATACGGAGTATCAAACTTGTTTACCTTTTTAACCTTCTAAATTAATCTAAAAAAAATCATTTTATTCACACACATGACACATACACATGTTCTCTCTCTCTCTCTCTCTCTACTTGTGTTGAGTCCTAGCATAGGACCCTTTAGCTTTCTTTTTGTTCTAGCAAAGATTTTTAAATGGTTGTTTTCATGCCTACAATTTTGTAATTGCTAGTAACCATTGCCTTAAAAAACATGCAAGTGCCCTTTTAGTGTGCAAATATAAACCTATTCGCGAACAGCAAAGTGATGATTATTTCTCTAGATGTTCAGAATTACAATTGTTGCATAGATACTTTTTGGACCTGTTGTCGTATTTTGACATTTTGTTGGCCTTCAGGCTGCACTGAGACATATGAAGATTTCTTTATGGGGTCTGTACATTTTAAAGATGTGGCCTTAGCACATATACTTGTCTATGAAAACGCTTCAGCAAAAGGAAGGCACCTTTGTGTTGAAGCAATATCTCACTTTGGTGACTTTGCAGCTAAGGTTGCTGAACTTTACCCTGAATACACCATACCCAGGTAATTTCATCACGAAGGCTCTTTTGTCCACTCAATATTGATAATTAGTTTTCATATTATTTTGTGTGGTTAGATATACTCCCTCTGTCCCAGACTATTCGTTCAGTTTGATTTTTTCGAATCGAACTAGATGAAATTTAATAGACAATTGCATTAAGCTTGCATTGCATATTAACACAATGAAATAAATTTCTGACAATTTTGTGATGAATATAATGAAATCATCTTTGTACAAAATATCCAATACTATTTTCAATTTAATTGATGATCAAAGTTTGTCTAGTTTGACTCAAAGAATGTCAAATTAGACAAATACTCTGGGACGAAAGTAGTATTTACAGGACGGAAATAATATGAACCTCAGGAACGGTGAAAAAGGAAAGTGAGTGCATAATTTAGGGAAAGGGGAGAGTATATGATATAGTGTTGTTTCATGCTTCAATAATAGGTTTCCCAAGGATACTCAACCTGGCCTGCTGAGAGCTAAGGATGGAGCAAAGAAGCTTATGGATTTGGGTTTGGAGTTCATTCCCATGGACCAAATTATTAGGGACTCTGTTGATAGTTTGAAGAGCAAAGGGTATCTAAGTTGAAAAAACTAGGTTCAATAGACAAACCTTGTTGAAAGGAGGGTAAAAACTGTTTATTATTGACTCAATGAACATAAGTAATTGTGAGTTTGTGACCTTTAATCATTAGAGCAAGGAGTAATGCTGTGTACATCTTAGAGTTGAGATTATTATGGGTTTGTTGTTGTTGAGAAGCTATGTTCTTGAAAACCTTGTATTATTATTATTACTATTATTATTATTATTATTATGTATTTTTTATTTATTTTCAATTCTTTTTCATTTCGAGAGGAACATATTTCCAGAATTTTTTTTATTTGCAAAATAGTCTCTTTTTAAAAAATAAATAGTGCCTTCTTTCGTGAAAATGGGGGGGGGGGGGGGGGGNTGACTATTAATATTTTTATTTATACATATTTATAAAAATTTGATATTTTAAAACTACATTTCAATAAAAATATTTGATATTAAGTTTATATTGTGATACAATGTATTTTTCATACATCCAAGTCAAAGTTTACAAACTTTAATCAGAAAAGTTAAATGAGAAGATCATTTTTAGATGGAGGGGTACCTAGTAAATACTTACAGAGTATCTAGTACTCCCTCCGTTCAGAAATGATGTTCCCGGTTTGACTTTTCCTCATTTTTAAGAGGGCGTGAAATTGCCTATAGAATGACTAAAATACCCTTGTTCAAATAATGGGGGAAGGGGGTAATAACGTGGCCGAGAATTTGTCCACATTTGACTTTTGGAATTGTTCATCTAAGCACTTTGACTCATCAAATTTTCTCAATGTGTAAGCTTAAATATAGCTATGTGTGATTTTGTTTGATTTGTCTTAACATATAGATTATTAATATATAATTTTTATAATTTTTTAATATACAAATTACAAGATAAAATGGATTAAAGAAATATATTGGATAGTGTGTAAAAATGAAAGTGGACAAATACACTGAGACTACTTAATAGGAAAAGACAAGTTGGTGTAACTTATTTATGACACTCTTACGAGGTCTTTTGTTCGAGTCACTGTGAAAGCTAGATGGAATTATTTATTTATTTATTTTCTATGGAATCAATAATGAATATTGGTAAAGTCATCTGAAGTCTTATTTGTCCATTCATTGTAAAATCACAGTGGATATAGTCCCAAATCCCAATTCATAGATTATTCATCCTCATTCAATATGGAAGCACCGACGTTGCAGTCCAGATTCCGATTCCCTCGATTGTCCTCAACCCCACGTTTATGGTAAACCAAAGAACGCCTTTGTTAGCTGCATCTTCATCTCCATACTCCTTTCTCTCTTCTTTATCTGTGTTTTCCTTCTTTCTCATCACTCTCTGTATGCGTGTCATGGTATAAAAATGGTGTCTTTGGCTGCAGACTTTAATGGAAAGAATGGGTTGCTTTCAAATGACACCATTTTCGCCCAAAAATTGTTTTTTGGAAGGATCAATAAATTCGTCAATTTCCCAGGATTCATTTCTCTTTTTTTTTTAATTTCTCCATAGATTTAGAAAGTGAATGTGTATATGCATATGCATTTGGAGGGTAGAATACTGTATAAGAGAATACTGAATTGTAAGAATGCTGAGAGAGATGACATTCTCGTATAGACAGTCATTGTCTATGCGGCACTGGTGGTGTCACCCTTGGTGTCATCTGCGGTGTGACTGTGACATAACCCGCTTATGGTTGAATCCTATCTAACTTGTTTGTGGAAGCAGTGATACACACCCTCACCAATGCAAGGTGGATGTGCCCGAGAACTCGCCCGAAAGATTTCACTCTCTAACTGTTAAAAAGGTTCTTAGAAGATCTGTTGTGCAGTTCCTCGGACTGAACTCTATTCTCTTTAATGTGCGTACTGTCACAGCTGCAACAATGCCGGAGACAAAAGAATCCGATGTTGTACGGTAATGTCTATTTGTTGCTCTTCCAATATGCTTTAATTTTCCTTGCATTAGCGCAAGTGCATTGTTCTGTCTCATTGATTGTTGTTTGGAATTGAAGTCTTTTTCCAGGAATCTAGAGCTTGCTAGTGGAGTGAGGATACAAGGTAAAGGAGTTGTTTAAAGTGGTAGAATTGTAATTTACACTCTTAGTACTCTACAACAACAACACCAACAACAACAAAAACCCAGTAAAATCCCAACTTTGTTGGGGTCTGAAGGTCAAGATGTACACAACTTTATCCCCGTAAAAATAGAGAAGCCGGTACGACAACGGCCTCTGTTTTTTTTACAAGGGGAAGGGGTGCATAAATTTGAACCTACAGTCAAACAAAGTTAGGATAATACTGGGTTTATTGTAGTATTATCATTTTATAATTTTTAAGTACCTCTTTCTAAGATATAATTGAAGGGGAAGGGCGAGAGGCCCACGAGGGAGATCTTGTGGAAATCAGTTATGTTTGCCGTAGGTCGAATGGATATTTTGTCCACAGGTAATTGTTTTTGGAAGAGATTTGTTTGATTATTTTTTGCAAAGTATTGCTTATTTGATTGAGTTCTTTAATTTCTTTCGAAAATGGCCCCTCTACTTCTGAGTAGGGAAGTAGGGGAAAAGTCACACGTCCTCCCAAGACCCTAGTTATGTTTTACAGTTAAAATAATGTATGTAGTACGGTGGATCGGTTAAGTGGAGAGAGTACCCCCATTGTGCTTCCTTTGGATGATAAACAGGTACTCATTCGTGTTTCTCGTAATATGCATTTAACATGATAAAATCGCTCAATTTTGTTACTTCCTAGGGAACAAACGTGCACGCTTCGCGAACAAAGTTTTTGTTTTTGGCCTTAGAATTTTACAATGTTGTGTATGTTTTGAGAGTGGGTCTCTTAGAAACAGCCTAGTAGAGGTAAGGTCTAGTTACACGATCCTACTTTGCGTGGTACCTTACTGGGTTTGTTATTGTTGTTGTTTTGCCGTGCCTGCGACAGATAATAAAAGGTCTGAAGGAAGTAATAACTGGAATGAGGGCAGGAGGTAATTAATTCATAATCCATGACCATAAATTTAACAACTTCTAATGTTCTTGTTTTCTGCTATTAACTGTGAAATTTAAGCCTAGCTAGCAACATATTTAACCACCCAACCCAATATATTTGAATCTGCAGGTAAACGAAGAGCACTTATACCACCTTCAGTTGGTTACATCAGTAAAAACTTAAAGCCAATCCCAGAAGAGGTATAATATCCCTTCAGATTTTGTATATTTTGTGTCTTTTTTTTTTTTTAAAAAAAGTTTCGAAATTAAACTCTTTTTACGGGACAAATAGTGTACGTACGCACATATAAAGAAAAAAACGTAACGGTGTTTTGTATTTACATATGCATATGTTGTGACAATGTTGCAGTTTGGCCCAAGACGAAGCCTCTTGTCGCATGCAAACGAGCCATTAGTGTTTGAAGTGCAGCTGTTAAAAGTTTTATAAGTTGACCCGATTTCCGCCGCGACAACAATGACACATTACTTTGTTTTAAAAAAAAACAGTCGAGAACTCGAAGTCGATTATATATTTTTATAATATATGTAAGCGGGGATCACATTCTTGATAATCTAAGACTACTAGGTTTCGGTCTCTCATTACAAATTACAGCTGAAAGTTATCTTTTGTAGAAACAATATACCCCGGAGTAAAACACTAATCAGTAATGGATTTTACAAGTAATGCATTCTAGTATTACAACTACACATATTAACAATGTTGATGCTATGTTCTTTTGAGCATTACATAAAAGTGAAATTTGCACCATATAGTATTAGAACATATGTATTTCTCCAATGTAAAATCTACAGTTTTTTATTCTATAAATAGTACTCCGTATTTGAATAATGTCTAGTGGCGGGGATAATGTCTTCATGAAGTTGTGATGAAGTTTTACTGTATTGGACAATCAAATTAATCCACTTACATTACACAAACTGTTCTCTTTGTAGTGTAATGATCGTTTGGGCAACAACAAGAACCAATCCACGCCAAGTGACGAATTAGAATTTCAGGGTGAAAATGTACCCAATTTTACCTCTGTGATAAAGACAACCGTTTCAAATTAAATTGCATTTTATTATTCATATGGTCAATTTTTCATCTATTTTTTTTATTTTCATTAGTCATTTGATAAAATGATTTGGTCATGTCACGATTAGTTTTATTTTAAATATGTAATTCTTATTTTTTTAATTCTACATAATTTTTCATATAAAATAATTTAAAAATAATTATAATTAAATATCATAGATTGAAAGAAATAATTTTAAGGAAAATGCTAGGGGTACACCACCCAAAGGTGTATCCCAAATATCCCCACCCCCTCCATAACCGCAAAAATTTGCATGTAAAATTAAAAAATAAATAAATAAATAAAAATCAAATAAAAAGGAATGGTAAAGAGACATGTGGTGTATATTTGGAGTATATCTTTGGCGTACAAATTGGAACAGAAAGAGTACATAAATAGATTACTAAAACTAATTTTCAATATGTAGTACTACCTCCGTCCCAGAGTATTTTGTCCACTTTCATTTTTACACACCATCCAATACACTTCTTTAATCCATTTTATCTTGTAATTTGTATATTAAAAAATTATAGAAATTATATACTCCGTATTAATTATCTATATGTTAAAACAAATCAAACAAGATCATAATGACTATATTTAGGCTTACACATTGAGAGAATTTGATGAGTTAAAGTGCTTAGATGAACATTTCCAAAAGTCAAAATTGGACGAATACTCCTGGACGGAGGGAGTATATACTTTTTCTTTTTCTTCTAAATAAAATCCAACAATTGTGTTTCCAGTATTTTTAATACTTTTTTTATTTTATTTTTGTGAAGCCAAACTTTATGAATTAGGGAATGTTTGTTTCAGCCTCTTAATGACTCAGATGTCTGAATGGTTCAGCACTTAATAGTTCAGACTGTTTGTTTCAGCCTCTTAATGGTTCAGATGTCTGAATGGTTCAGACATTTGCCTCTGAATGGTTAAGTATTATACAGAGTCTGAATGGTTAAGACCTCTTATCTAAATTGATCAGACATTTGCCTCTAAATAGTTAAGCAATATACTAGCTCTTAATGTTTCAAACCTCTTACTGGTTCAGCAACTTAATGGTTCAGACCTGGCAAACATTACCACTTAGGTCTACGTTGCCACGATATTGTTCTATGGAAATCATTATATTTTAAAAAATATAGTGAGGAGTATTTCTTTTCCGGCACTCCCCCACGCCGCCTTCCATCTCCGTTTTCCGCTTCTGCACAGCGCCGCAGCTCGGCGATTCAGGCGTATTCTTCAGCCACGATTCCTCCTCTCTTTCAAGGTGAATACTGTGCAGATGTTTAATTGTTTTAGACACTTATCAATTATATGATTTGTGATATGTGAATTTGTAATTTGTGGGTTTTTAAACTACTGTATGAGTTTGTGTACATTGTCTAGTTTTCCAAAAGTGATATTCTGATTATTTTGGACATTGATTAGATTTTTTTTCGCCATTTTGTTTCTTGGTTTGTAGTTGTGGTTTATGTTTATGCTTTCTTGTAATAGAACAGTTTTTGCTTCTAGCCCTGGTTCTGCAACTCTTTTTTTTTTAGTAAATAGTTTTTTTGGAGCATATGTTCGATTTCCAGACTCCGAAGTGGTTTGAATCTTGAATTCTTGATACGAGCAGCTGATGTGCATTTTTTAATCTTGATTTTTTGTGGTTAATTATTTGAGTATATAATCTGTGATTCGTAAATTCATTGAATTATGAATTAAGATATGGGATCCCATGGCTTGAATTTTCTGGGTCTGCCGCTGCTCTGTAGTCTGTATTGGATTTCAGGATGACCACTCATCTCTCCCCAAAGCACCAAAGACATCGAAATAAACACAAGTTGCAGAACCTTCAAATTCAGAACTAGCTGTGGAAGATGAGATTCCCTCAATCCATTCCGGCAAGGAAGCTCCGCCGCCATAATAAGCTTTCACTGGTTATAATCCAACACTTCTCATCAGGTCTCGCTAAAACCACAAAGCCCACGAAATCCAACTCTTTAATAATCACTCACGAGGCTCTCCGGGACCATGTGCTTTCTTCTCAGTGGCAATTCATCGAACAGTTTATGCCCAAACTCACGCCCACCTTGATCTCCTCCACCCTCTTCAGCCTCCGTTCATCTCCAAACCACATTCTCAAGTTCATTCAAAGTCTCAACTCCAATTGTCTTGACATCAATTGCTATTGCCTCGCCATCTTGATACTCTCTCGTCTTCCATCTCCCAATCAAGCACTGCAGCTCATCAAGCAAGTAGTCAATTCTTGTATTGCGACACACGGGGAGATTTTTGATGGGTTAATCTGCGCCAGAGAGAAGCTGGAGGTAAAGAGTTCGATATCTTTGGATCTTCTAGTAAATGCGCTTTGCAATTTGAGGAAATCCCGTGAGGCTTTGGAGTGCTTTCACTTGATCACTGGGAAGGGTATTTTGCCCAAGATTGAGACTTGTAATGCGCTGTTGAGTTTGTTTCTCAAGTCGAATCGGACCAAATTGGCATGGGACGTGTTTGGCGAGATGTACAGGTTGGGGATAAATTCAAATGTCTGCACATTCAATATTATGATCAATGTGCTATGTAAAGAAGGGAACTTCATGAAGGCCAGGAAGTTTTTTGAACAGATGGAGGCTTTAGGGTTCAAGCCGAATGTGATAACGTTTAACACTTTAATACATGGGCATTGTCTGGGGGGTGATATCAAAGGGGCAAGTGATCTCTTTGAGGAAATGAAGGCTAAAGGGGTCAAACCAGATTCATACACTTACAACTCTCTCATCAGTGGGTTGATAAAGCAGGGGAAGGCCGATAAGGCATCTGAAATCATCAAGAAAATGGATGAATATGGCTTTGCCCCAACGGCTGTGACTTACAATACTATGATAACCATGTACTGCAACAAAGGAGACATCGAAAGGGCATTTGCTAGTAAAGATGATATGGTTAAGAGGGGGATATTTCCCACTGAAATCACCTATAATTTGTTGATTCAAGGTTTGATTCTTGAAGAGAAGATGAAGAAAGCCGATGATTTAGTCAAAGAGATGAGACAAAAAGGGCTGGTTCCTGATATTATCACATATAATACGTTGATGAACGGCCATTGTAAGGCAGGGAATGCAAGAGAGGCTTTGAGTCTTTATGATGAAATGTTGACCACCGGTCTTGATCCTACACTCGTTACTTACACTTCACTTGTTTATGTCTTGGGCAAGAAGAAGAGGATGAGGGAGGCAGATGATTTATTTGCAAGGATGGTGCAGAGAGGAATTTCCCCAGATCTTATCATGTTCAATACACTGATTGATGGCCATTGTTCTAATGGAGATGTTGAGCGCGGGTTCTTGGTTCTGAAGGAGATGGATAGGATGGGGATCGCCCCAGATGAAGTTTCGTACAACACTTTAATGCACAGATACTGTAAGGAGGGCAAAGTTGAAGAAGCTCGTGAACTTCTTGATGAGATGCAACGGCGAGGAATCAAACCTGACCACATCAGTTATAACACGCTGATCAGTGGGTACTGTAGGAGAGGTGACATGGAGGACGCATTTAGGGTCCGAGACTTGATGCTCACAGTTTGGGGTACAGCCCTACACTTTTGACCTACAATGCCCTTATACAAGGGTTATGTAAAACAAAGCAAGGTGATGTCGCGGAGGAGCTTCTCAAAGAAATGGTCAGTAAGGGCATTACTCCCAACGACAATACATATTTTTCTCTAATTGAAGGAATTGGGGACGTTGACGCTTTCTTGGGGGGAAAAGACCCATTGGATACGACAGAGCCGAAAAACATGTAATGTGGGTACACCAAAGCCTCTATTGGTTTGTCCTTTTAAGGTATATTCTCATGTCGCGTGCTGCTTCAAATGTCTCTAAGCAAGCAAGCAAGATGGATTCATGGAAAGCCAGATTCATCACAGAGCAGGTAAATCTGGTGTTCATTATTACAAGGTTGTTTGGGAGTGATTTTAAGAATGATTTTCAGCTCTTTTGCTTTGAATAAAAGTAGTTCGAAATGTTGTGAGGCGCATAAAATTTCTTCCACTTTTTAAAGGAAACAGAGTATTTCTCTTTCCTATGCACAAACCACGACCACATAAGTTCCACATTATTAAAAATCATATATATACTCTATTTCCCATTCGAATAAGTTTATATTTTACCAAATATAGATTCTCTCAAGCAGACAAAGTGGCTGGCTTTTGGGAGTGCACTCTTTGATAGGAATGATGTGTTCTTGGCTGCTCTTTCTAAGAAGACCCATTGCCCCGGGATCCGTTTCAGGCAGAAGCTATGGCGTGTCGTGACGTTCTTTTGTGGTTAAAGTCTCATGGCATCGGAGAACTGTTTGGATAATTTGCAGAGTGATAGTCCTTTTGGTTCTTATTTTGGTTTTCTTTGCCTCTTTTGATTGCTTGACATGTTCTTTTGTTCATCGTTTGTTTATTGCCATAGCTCATGCCCTTGCTAGGAGGGTTGAGATACTCTTTTATAGTGAAATGTAAAAAGAATTTAGGTTTGATGTTTTCAGATATCAAAAACTTTCAAAATAAAGGGTTTTGATACCTCTTGAAATTTGGAATCTCAATATGGAGATTTTTTCTATTTTTACTATCCACCATGTCTCGTCATTGGCTACCACTATCTCTACCAATCACTTCTGTTGTCCATAATTCCTACCTATCAGTAATTAAAACATATTCCCTTCATCCTAAAAAGATTGTAACATTATGTAAAACAAAGTTCTTTTTTGAGTTATTTCAATTCATTTAATTTAAAGATTGACATAAAAATAAAAAATAACTCTCATATTTAAAAAACTACTACATCCGTCTTAGTGTATTTGTCTAGTTTTGACTTTTTCGAATCAAAGTGAATAAACTTTAAGCTTCAATTACTTTCCATTTGTATTGCATATTAGTACAATAAGTTAAAATTTTAAAAGGTCTCATCAAGATAAATTTAATAAAATCACTTTTTATACTAATACACATTACAATTTTTATATAATTGAAGCTCATAGTTCATTCTTTTTTATTCGAAAAAATCAAACTGGATAAATACACTAGGATGAAGAGAGTACGTCAAAAGCTCTACAAAATAAGAGGTGAAAAAAATATTTTATTTTATCAAATAATCAATGAACACGTGAAAATAAATAAATGTCTCGTAATTTTTGAATAGTGAAGTATTGTAATCTTTTTGGACGGCTTCATTCCATATGACAAATTCAGAAATTCTTTTATGGTTCTTACACTCTTTAGTTTCATGCACATTTTATGAAACTTCGTATATAAAATAATTTTATGTATTGAGTCTTACAAAAATAAAAAGATCCAAATATGAGTTCATGAAAAATATGTTAAAAAATTATACTCCGTATATTAATCTTAGGACCAGATTAGCATAATTCTAATTTTATGTTTTAAAACAGATATCATATCATACTTTCAAAACTATTATCTCTGTCTTTGAGTATTTTTTTAATTTTGATTTTTTCAATCAATCATTTTTTAGATCGAAAAAGTCAAAAGTGGACAAATAAAAAACCGGACGGGACTAAGATTTGACTACCCTAATGGTACGTTTGGGAACATGGATTTGGATTTCAAATCCGGATTTAACTTAAATTCCATGTTTGGGAAATCTAAGCATTTTGAATTTGGATTTGAGTCAAATTCTTTACATTCAAAACAATGCTTAATTTGAAATCCATGAACCTCCCCTTGTCATTTGAAATTCAAGATTTCAAATTTTGGAATTGAAATGCATGAATTGAAATGAAATGCTAATTGCCAAACACTACCTAAAAGTATTTTCAAATTCCAACAACCCTAAGACTACACTGTTGAGCTGGCAGCACCTGGCGGACCCACAGTAGCGCCACCACTACCATCGGCGCCGCCGCCCTCACCCGCGGCGATTGTAGACATTTTCCGCTTCTTGTAAACCTTGCGGTGAGGGAATCCTCTGGCCTTAGCTTGGTCACCCTTAACCTCTCTCAAGTATATCCCCACAGCTCTGGCGGCAAACGGGTTGGATTCGGGTCGGCCGCCGCCGATCTCTTCGTAGGCGGCTCTGAGCCGTCCGATGAGGGCGTCGAGGCTGCCCCAGGCCTGCTTCAGCGGGCAGGCGCACGGGGCGGGCGGGTTCCGGTCCCCGAAGTGCGGGCAGCCGGTCACGTGCACCTTCGTCTTCCCGAACCCGTCCAGGTACTTGAGGAACTCGATCACGTGAGCGCCGCTGCACCGCGGCAGCGTCAGCGGCGGCGTGTGGTTCTTCAGGTACTGCAGAAACGTAGTCCAGTCTCGCCGCTTCTGCGCCTGGTACCGGCTCGGCGGCGCCGGGGAAATTCTTCCTCCGCCGCCGTCTCCATCTGATGTCCGGCTTCCACCTGCCGACGAGTGATCCTCTCCGCTGCCAACAGGATCGGACGGCAGGGATCCAGCAGAACCCATATACATCTGCTCAATTTAACGCTTTAATCGAATCGATAAATTTGAATCAATAGTGCAGGCCAGTGATTAAGAACTCGAATTAATTCAATTTACAGTGCAATCTATGAATTTATCATAATGAATCGGTTAGCTATACTGCATATTGGCCATATTCTCATACTTTGATGACATTTGGTGTTGACAATAATTTGACATGATTCCCCTTTGCCAACAATTATAAGGTTAGTGTTAATATTTTGAAAACGACTATCTTGCGATAATTTTTAGTATTAATATTTCAAACCTAACATGATACTATATGGCAAGTGTTTCACTATCCAAACATAATATGGAGTACTATTTTTGTCCAAATGTATTTGTTCAATTGGACGGCAAATTGTTCAGTTTGACTTTATATTTATTCAGCTTAACTTTTTATTGTCAAATTAGGCAAAGATTAAACATCAATTGAATTAAAATTACGTTACGTATTACTGTATTAGTACAAAAATTATACAGATTTATCTTGTAAAATAGTTTTCAAAAAAATATTTTGTTTTATTAATTTCTTAGAAACAATCTTTCTATTTTTGAGTAGGGGTAAGTCTCCATACATGCACCCCTCCAAATCTTACTTTCGTGGGATATTTTACTGACTTATTGGTATATTTTGGCAATGAATCAATTCAACTAAAAAGCTCAAACTTTTGATTATAGACGCAGAAAAAGTTTACTCTACCATATCTCCTCACGTGCAGGTAAGATTTGTGTTTGCTCTAAACTTGCATGTCAAAACTTCTTTTGGGATGTTTCAAAAAAAAATGATGACTTTTTTTGGGAAAAGGCTATTTAGAAGCTCTACGTTACTGTCACTCAAGGCCGGCCCGAGAGTTGGTCAAGGTGCCCTACCGGCCCAAGCTTTTTTTGGGGCCCAACATTTTTCAATCAGTAGCAGTAACACAGAAGACAACCAAGCCAATTAAACTTCGATTTGGGAAAATCACCAAAAATAAGTTACAAATATCGTATTATATACTACCTCCGTCCCACTGTCTTTGTCCACATTTGACTTTTGGAACTGTTCATCTAAGCACTTTGACTCATCAAATTCTCTCAATGTGTAAGCCTAAAAATAGTCATGTGTGATTTTATTTGATTCGTCTTAACATATAGATTATTAATATATAATTTCTATAATTTTGTAATATACAAATTACAAGATAAAATGGATTAAAGAAGTGCATTGGATGGTGTGCCAAAAGGTAAGTGGACAAAGACAGTGGGATGGAGGGAGTATTTTTTAATTTCAAATTTTCAAGCATAACTTTTTAAGGTAGCTATTACGATATTTAATTATAATACTACAATTTTGTTAATTGTATTACTATAATATGAATTCTTATCTTAAAGAAGACAATTTATATAATTTAATTTGTTAGGATCAAGACCCATATTTTTCTTCTAGTTTAGGGCCATATTATCCTCGAGACCGGCCCTGGTCACAGCCAGTTTTTTGAAGATCGGACCAGACCGGCCGGTCCAACCGGTCGACCCGCGAACCGGCAACGTATCCGGTCTGGTTCACTGAAGAAAGCCGGCTCCCTTTTGACCCGCCCTTACCCGTCGGACCCAGTGAACCGGGTGACCCGGGTCGACCCGTCCGGTTCCCGGGTTTAGGCTTAAATCTATATTTTATTAAATTAAATTTTCTAACATAAAAATTGAAAGTGGTGGCTGAGTTTCGACCCTAGCACCTCCCGTATACTAGTGCAAGTTGTCAACCAAGTGAGCTACTCAATTTTTTTTCAAAATCTAGGTATCAATTATATCTATTTATGGTTTTACAAAAGGTTCATACAAAATTAATATGTACCCGTAGTAGTTTTTTGTGCAAGTGTGAATTATTTGTATTTATGAACTTTTAAAATAGTTTTAAAAATTAAGAATATTTTAATTTTTATTTGAAAATATATATACTCTGTATATTTTATATTTAAAAAATTGTTGTCTTTAAAAATTAAGTAATATTATTAATTATAATTTAATATGCTATATTTTTTATTTTCAATCATTTTAATCAACTAAATATTAACTTTAAAATGTCATATGTATATAAGAATAAAATATATAGTCTTTAATTTTTGAAAATATGAGTATCGCCTTATTATTTAAGTATTTGTTAGAGATTCAATATTAACTTTTCATAATAATAAAAATAATAAAATAAAAATCGAAGGTGTGAAATATCATATGTATAAGGATATGAAAAAAGAGATGGAGAAATAATAACATAAATTAAAATATTTTATTAACTGAAAATATCTAATATATCATAAAATATTATTATTATAAACATAGTTGACCGGGTCATTGACCTCCGGTTCAACCGGTTCGATCGGTCAACCCTTGACCCACTACCTTGTTCGAGTTGACGTCCGGTCCGGTTTTCAAAACATTGGTCACAGCCCACACAATTCCTCCCCTACCGACGGGTTTGTAGGAACTTCAAAGTTAGGAGGTTGATTCCCATACAAGGTTTTAGAAAAGTCCTGATGATTGAAGAGGTGAGTTAACTCAAAATAGGCAGAAAAGATATTTTGGAGAGGGACAAGTATTAAGGAGTATTTTAAGCCACAAAATCTAAAACATGTTTATTTAGATATGAGATTCTTAAAAAGTTTTTTTATACTCGGTCCATAAAAAATTACAACAATTTGATTTTGTCAAAGTGTGACATTCTTTAATCACGAATTATAAGAAAAGTATATTTAACTATAATATAAAGTTGAATATATTTTATAATATAATTTTGAAATATCAAATTTTTTTAATATTTAATTATATTAAATAATATTTAATTCATAGTCAAAGAAAATCAGAATTTGACCAAAAAAATTAAACTATGATAATTTGAAGAGAGTACAATTCAAATGGTTAGCGATAGACTGGTCAGTGGTAGTGCTTTCATTTAAAGATTCCTTCTGTCGGCCAATAAAGCCAAAAAATTTAAGCATTTTTAGATTGCCACATTATTATCTATTCATTCAAATCATTAATACGAATATACTAAGCACCAAATCTTATTTAGCTTGAAGGTAAAACTCTCAAATACACATCTTGTCATACTTTTTAGCCAACTATTCACAAAATCTAAGAGAGAGAAAAATGAAACTATATTATTGAAATTTATACCAAAGAAATACTCCGTAGAATTAATGTTAAGCATTCCAACAAGAAAGCAAAACATGTGGCTAAAAGGAAAACAAACCTTGTAAACCACATACCAATGCAAACAATCATAGTTACTTGTAATACCCCCTCTATCCCATTCTAAATTACATGTTATTTACGATGTTTGATTGAAATTATTTTAAAATAAATTTATATAAAAATTGGTGTAGAAGTAAAAATATATAGATATATTTAAAATCTAAATCAAAAGTTTACAAAACAAAAGGTGACGTGACTATATTATTTTATCAAATGCGTAAAGAATGCAATTAAGGTTTAAGCATGTGAATAGTAAACATGCAAGTTAAAATTGGGAAGAAGAGAGTAAATTACTCCGGCATGAATCTAGTCACTTGCTTCATAGTGAACAAATGACATAAATTTCTGGTAAGATTACCTGTAAAAAGCTTCATCAAGTTAATGTAGACTACAACAGCTTGCAGCAAACCCAGTAAAATCCCACAAGGCAATAGGATCTGAGGAGGAAATTTCATTTAGAATAGAACCGGAATCGAATTTATATATATGTGAAGAAAACCGAAAAGAGTTGCAGAAATCCTCATATCAATGGAGCTCCAAGTTTCATTGGAAGCCAGGCATAAAAGATTAGTCAGTCACAAGAGGCAACAGCAAGTGCTACACTCAGGTCATTGGAGGTTCCACATAGATACATCCTGTGTGTCTCTATATCCTCATGTTGTTCATTGTTCCTTGGAGTATTGGTAGCATAATAACTTCCACCCACTGTTTCTCTTTTGGAAAATATGATCTCCCTTAGGATTGGTTCATTCCCATTGAGGAGGTTCCCCATGCTCAGCACTTTCCTCCATGACTGGTTGGCGTTGGGAGGAGTGAAGATGCTCGCAACCACCTCTCTCTCTCGTCGTCTCACGCGTTGCTTCTTCGAGAACTCCTAATCCCCGTCAGTATACGTTTCAGTTCAAATTTTTTTCGAAAAGAAGCACATGTAACATAGGATGTTACCACGAAATGGGAGGGAGGAGGTGGATTTCTTAAGATTGTCCAAATACGATTATTTCATCGGTTCCATTGACACTCACCTTGAGTGCCAACGGATCACACCAGTTCAAATTGATGGTTCCTACCCCTCATAACCTCCCTGGCAAACCGTCCCCCCTCCCCCCGACTCTAGAGCTACCCGAACCCACCCCACCACCCACTTTAATTGCACCCCCTAAATGTAGTTGAATTTGAAGTAAAAAAACATTGACCCCGAAGTCAACTAAATTTAGGGGGTGCAATTGAAAGGGGTGGCGGGGTGAGTTTGGGTCATCCAGGGTTGGGGGTTTACCAGGGGTAGAGGGTAAAAACCATCAATTTTGCAAATGGAATACCGTAAGTGTATCAAAACCTCAATGGCACCGTAGTGTCAACCTGGGTCGGTGTCAATGGAATCGCTCCCTTATATCTTTCATATTTAACAGATATGGGACATCTGAACCATGGGCCTCCATGACAATTAAAGGGAAGCGCAAAACGATTTTACGCTGTGGAGTCCTCTGTACACTCTACATGCAAAAGTTCTAGAGAAAATAATGACTGAAAAAACAAGAAAAAGTAGATGCGAGAGAACAGAGAACAAAGATTCGTTGAACATAGTTCAACCCATTTCGTTTCAAACGTTGAACTCATTTCGTTTCACTATGTTACACTCATTTAGTTCAACGAACAACGAATTTCGTTGAACATAGTTCAACTCATTTCGTTTCAAACGTTGAACTATGTTCAACAACGAACAACGAATTTCGTTGAACATAGTTCAACTCATTTCGTTTCAAACGTTGAACTATGTTCAACAACGAACAACGAATTTCGTTGAACATAGTTCAACTCATTTCGTTTGACAGAGAACAGAGATTCGTTTTGAACATAGTTCAACGAACAACGAATTTCGTTTCAAACGATGAACTATGTTCAACAACGAACAACGAATTTCGTTTCACTATGTTACACTCATTTCGTTGAACGTAGTTATAAATTCAACGAATTGTTACACTCATTTAGTTTCACTATGTTCAACTCATTTGAAAACTAACCTTGGTATCACCCCCAACTGAAGCAGTTCCCATTTTAGGAATGTAGAAGTTGAAAAAGTCGTTGAAAATTGCTTCAGATAAACGTGGCGCCTGCAAGAAGGTACGATGAAGAGAAGCCGCGACGATGACCAACTTCTCCACATGTTCAAAGATGGAAGAAAGGCGCTTCAGGTCATCAATAATTTCAGCATCAGCAGAAAGGTCATTCTCTGCAACAAGGGGCAAACCCTAAGAATGAACGCAGCTACAAGATGGGAGTCCACTTGCATCACGGAAAACACTTGAGAAAGAAATTAGTAAGGAAATAAAAAAAAGATAATTTGATTTGGAATGAAAGGAAAGGAAATTTAAGAGGAAAGTAAAAGTTCAATATAAATACCAAGAAATTTAAATAAACTCGTATGTAATTTTGAAAAAAAAAACATCCATTTTTCATTTTCCATAGCATTTCCCAAAGTAAAGCCAAATGCAAGAAAATAACTTTCATTTGTTTTCCCTTTCCATAGCATTTTCCAATATCCAAGTATGCACTAAATGAAAATGAATATTATCAGGGAAATAATACTTTGTAAGCATCTCAAGGTTGATGCCAGGGTGAGATAGAGTTGGTCCAATTTGATTGACATTTGTTTTAAACCTCCAAAAGATGTCCGATTTAGTGTGTCAGCTGCTGCTCTGAAAGCCGTGCAAATCATTTGAGCCAACAACTGATTAGGTCGCAAGGTTTCCAAATAATGAAGAGCCTGTGGCAATTAGAATGATGCAGAGATAAAATCTATGATTGAAGATATACTCAGGAAAGCAAATGCCTACAGTTTTCTAAGGGTCACTTTTGATGGAGGGGTTTAGAGGGGAGGGTTTTCAAGGGCTAAGTTTGTATCTTGATAAAAATGAATATAAAGGCCCTCAAAAGTCTTCCCCTCGGAGCCCTTTCACCTAAACAGGCCCTAATTGAAGTTAATAAAAAAGGCTTCAGGCTTTTCATAATTGGTGAGAAAATACACGTTGCTGTTTCCTTTATTGTTTTCTCAAGACTGAACTAGCCATGTCATGGAAGCTGTGGTTTTTAAAGTAATCCTTTATCTTTTTGTACCCCCGTGCCAAATTGCAGTTAACAGACAAATGGTAAAGTTAATATTAAGATACAAATATGTAATAATTCTAATACCTTTTCACCTTCTCGATTTGGATCTACAAGAGGCTTCTGCTCAGAAACTGGCAAAGGAAGGGCTTCATTCCAGATTTTTCTCCAGTAATTTCCTTTATCTGACATTCTTTCTGAAAGCCTTCCTTGAGGAGGCCACTTTTTTATTGACCCTCCCATTGCATTATTATCATCACTCTCCCAGTCTCTAGGTGAATGCCATCTGATAAAATCCTCAAATACAGAATCTGGATTTGCTGCTTTAAAGGCAGACATATCTGATCCACACAGTAGTAAGATTTGCCTTTATCACTATTTATAACACACGTGGATATCATAATAGTTCCACTATGAAGCTTGACAGAATAAGGTTAATCTAATTCAGGTAGACAGGTACTACTAAGATACGTTGAATGAGAGCAAAAACTACACACACTAAAGAGTCATCAAATCGTACATGGTACATGCCTAATGCCTAAATTAAACCTCTTGGAAAATGTAAAAGATGTTCCAAGACTTTTTTATAAGAATCTTGTGCAAGAACAAGGGATTGATACCTGATGACAAAACCTCTTTTTCCAATTGAGCTGAGCTCTGCATAGCAGAAACATAAAACTTCATTATCAAAATTTTAAAAAAACATAACTATATACAAGATTTTCACTAATGTAGGAATGTACAGATCGTGATATAAGTATGAGATAAGAACTGACTAATGTAAGGAAATCTAGTACCCAAGAGACTTCTAGGTATATCTTTCGTTTTCAAAAAGTAGCTTAACATCTTCAATGCACAGAGTACTGATATATAATAATCCAGTCATACAATGCATACATGTGCACAAGCATACAAACAGTTATTCCCACTATCCGATTATGAATTATCTGTAACAATTAACAAAGATTGCAACCTCTCAATCTTTTTTGGTAGGGGTAAGGTCTCCATACACCCACACCCTTAAACCCCATCCGTGGGATTTTACTAGGTTGTTGTTGTCATTGTATTTTGTACACACTATGATACAGAGTAGTTGATTATTTTGCCATCTTTTCAATGAAATATACTATTACCCGTAACAAACATTACAACATCTCTACCTTTTTACTTTTTAGGTAGGGGTAAGGTCTCCATATATCAACCCCCCACACCCCATTCGTGGGATTGTAGTGGGTTCCGGTTAGTGTCATTATTTTATACACAATATAATACAGAGTTGATTATTTTGCCATTGAACTTATTTTTAAGTTTCGTTTTTCATTACATGTGAAAGGTAAGAAAGGTAAGGAAAATCCTAGGATTGGTATAGTCTTCCACTAATGCCTTATTAATTTATTTATATTTACGCACACATAAACATAAACACACAAACAAACATGGTGTATCTAGAGAAATGGATAAAATGCTTAGTCTTTCCAAATAGGATATCACGTGTCATTATAGTGCTGCAAGGTAAGGTCTCATCTAATATTAGGATGCCTTGAATCATTATTGACGTCACAACATGGATACATTAGGAATTTAGGATTTGCCTACAGCCACACAAATATTAGGATGGCATGTATCATCAAGATGGATGGTACATGGGGTGTGTGTGTTGTCCACAATAATACATACTTTCATTTCTTAGATCTTTTTGCTCAAGGGGGTGTATACTGATGTCTATACAAACTGTAAACATCTGCACATCAACAAGGGGAGCAAAAGTTATAATAAGTGGTCATTGCCATAGATATCATGGCTAATCAGCCTATTCACAAACCATGCATGAAGTGTTTCTACTGCTTTTCATAAACGTTTGATTGAAAAGTTGCATATGATTTTTGTTCTCCTACACTCGCTTGCTTTGTACCCATTTCTCCATTGCCAAATGCCATGGATAGCCTGTTGGAATATATAGCTCCAATATACATCCCCTCGACTTTAACTGTTCCTTGATATGTATCCTAGGTAAAGCATCTAATTCCTTTCACAATTGTAAAAGGAATGAAGATGAATGAAACTCATAACAATACATTCAGACACATATTTTTCATATGTAGCATTGGGCTTACAACAGAATTGCCAAAAGCTTCAATTGCTTGGAGACGTTCTTCATGCATGTCTTCAGTCATAAGCAGTGGATCCTGTAAGAATTTTACATATCACCTGGTGAGTGTGGATTTAAATCATAACGCTTTCAAAGGGACAGCCTTATCAGGAAGAAGATAAAACGGTCAGTTCATGAATGTATATCAACCTGGGTGTATGGAGTGTGCATGCTCTGTTGTGATTTCAGAAGCATCATAGACCCCATTGTACCAGCTGATCCTCTCCTAGTATGCCTTGGAAGCTTCTGATTATAAAGTTTTTCCGTCTCAGAGGGAGTATCACGCGGACCATCTGTAGTAGAAGATCTGCATAAAATAGCAGTCATAACGAAATATACTCAAAATTCAAACATAAAAACTGCATTAGCAAATTGACAATTCCTAAATACTACTACAACAACAACAAGCCCAATATAATCCCAACTCCATTGGGGTATTGGGGGTCAAGATGTGCGCAATCTTACCCATGTAAAAACAGAGGTTTCTGTCCCTTGATGCATTTAATGCCCAAAACTTCATAGAAAGAAAGAAGCAAGGGAGGTTTACTATGCCATTTTTATTTACTCCATTATTTACCTGAAGCTAAAACATTGTCAAAAAATGATTCTTTTAGCTCCATTGGCAATGGACACAAAAGTAACAATTCCTACATGTGAAACAAAAAGCAAAAACACAAGCCTTTGGCATATAGTTCATCATTTATTTATAATAAGCGAGTAATTGCTGCTTTTAGTCTAATAAAATCGGGAAAACCTGTCCTACAGTCATGAGCCTCCTGGCCATAGTAAAGTAGGAAACAAAGCTGAAGAGGGAATATTTGTGTAATACATTCCTTAGGTACTTCTCCATATTCTTCTTAAGTTTGAGAATCTTCTAGAGAAAGAAACAAAATTGGGTTCTATGAAGTATATTGAAGACATGAAATGAATAAGTATGTGACCTCTACTCCCCAAAAATGGTGACTTCATAATAACAAATAAGCAACACCTTTCAATTAACCTTTTATTTGAAATATCTTGGTTTGAAAGAATGGTAACACTCTTCATGCTTCCTCTGTCCCTCAAAGATATGTGAATATTTGAATTTTTTGGTCAAAGACTTTGATTTTTGACTAATGTTTTAAATATTGAAAATTTTGTTTTTATGAGCATTCTTAACAAAAAAATCATTTCATATTATTTTCATTTTACATACCATTTTGTATACAAAAAATATTCCATCCCGTAAAAAACTTCCTTGTTTTTAACTTTCATAGAATTTAAGAAATGTGTTGAAAAGTGAAAAGTTTATGGCTAGAATTGGTTTAGAGGAGAGAGAAGAATTGTTGGTCTAATTTCAACATCAGTTACCAAAAGGTCAATTGTGGCCTATCTTTGTGTGACATGAGTCACATGACGGAGGGGGTATTAATTATTTATATGTTTGCATGGAGCATAGAAAATATGAAGAATAATACATTTTGGTCAAATGGTGTTTGAATGGAAACCACGGAATGAGAGTTCTTATGAAATGATGATGAAAATGAAGAAAATCCTACATGATAAAACTAAATACTTTTTCCCTTAAAACCTTTTCATAAAAGCTCTCCTCATTTTCTCCAAAACATCCCGCTCCATTTTTTCCTCCCCGATATATTTTCATTCATCTTCTATGGATGGATGCAAGATTAAGGTGTTTCAATTATTCCACTCGTTGGAAAATATAAAGCATGTCAAGCACAGTAAATTAGTGATGGAAAATCATTAAACTGTTGATAACTTCTTAATAGTGGAAGTGGAACTTCAACCATACAAGTATACAACTTATGCTTAAATATTTAATAGAAAAATATGAGTTTAAAAAAGAATAACAAGGTCAAACGATCTAACAAGGTCAAAATATGAGTTTCAACTTATGCAAGAATTCCTTTTAGGTTTCAAAGAAAACAATTCCCAGTAATGACTTCATATGCGATGACAATTAACAAAAGTCAAGGCCAATCTTTGTCGCATGTTGGAATATTATTGAAGAAATCCGTATTCAGTCATGGTCAACTTTATGTTGCAATTTTGTGTGTCACAAGTCGCCAAGGGTTGAAGATCTTGATTTGCAATTAAGACCTTCCTTCATGTAACCAAACTACAAATGTAGTTTATAAAGAAGTGTTCCAAAACTTATAACACTCCCAAACCTCCCTCACTTTTCATATCTACTTATTTATGTAATCCTTTAGATTTTTGTAAGATTTTTTCTTAATCAAAACATGGAGTACTTATGTGTCAATTAATAGCCCGTGCATCGCAAGGGTACGAGTCTAGTGAGTTTCAAAAAGAATAACAAGGTCAAAAGATCTATCAAGGTTGGTTAGCATTCAATAACATTTACATAAAGTTCTCACTTGCATTTCACCTGTTACGTTCCTCACAAGAACCCGGCATATCATCAGGATATATCTCACTCCAATCGTGATTATCTTCCTGCATTGGGTTTTAACTTTCGTTTCAAGGAATTGGGCATAAAAATCCTTAAAAGTGTATGAACAACAACACAAATGAGCAAGTACTACCTTGACATGAGTATTAAGCATATCCTTGTATTCGCCTTTTCCCTGACTATGCTTTTGGTTATGTTTCCGTTTCTTATCTATGCAAATTGCAAGCTGAAAATCAACATAAGGAAGATGAATATTTCATAATTTACATGTTACTCATAATATATTTTCCCAGAAACCTAGATACTCCAAAACTATTGCACCAGCTAGATGGAATGATGGTTTCACTACATCAAAGATTCACTTTCCCAAGAAAGCAGTCAAAGTGGAAGTTAATTCACTTTCCATGGAAATCCCTTTTCACATCTCCCCCTTGTCATTTACTGATTATTTTCATGAAAAGTGAGTGCATTTAAGCTAAACTTGATCATATTCCACTGAATTATTTTAGTTCGTATCTCTTTTTTCTGCAATGTTACCATTTTTATAACATCTTCAATCAATCTTTCAAGTTAGACCCCATTCATGGGATTCTATTGGGTTGTTTACAAAAATTTTTCCTTCCAATCAGTCTGAAATAAATACCAACTGGGAACCAACTTTTAATGTATTCCTTTTCAGTTTAGCTCTCATCCCAAGTAGATCTATTTATGGATATTTCAAAACTGAAACAAAAGGAAGTGCGGGGCGGGGGGAAGGGGGGGGAGTGGGTCTTTGGTTGAGTGTATATCAACCCTCGACACTCAACAGAATATGGTCCTTAAGGTCCTTTTGAGTTTAGCTCTCATCCCAAGTAGATCTATTTATGGATATTTCAATACTGAAACAAAAGGAAGTGCGGGGCGGGGGGAGGGGGGTGGGTATTTGGTTGAGTATATATCAACCCTCGACAGAACTTGGGTGTGTACACACACACACATATTGTGGAAATTAAAATTTTTAAAGGATATACAACCCAATGGCTCATGAGCCCAAATAACAAAGACATACATACATACAAACATACATATTTATATACATATACACACACTCTCTCTGTATGTGCATGTGTGTGTGTGTATATTCACATAGAGTTGAAGTCCACATATAATGACTCATGGACTCACCATGTGCAATTTCTGATTAACCAAAGAAGTTGAGAGGTCAATTACACCATTTGCTGGCATTCGCGGTATTGGCTGTGACTCTTCCCAACACCAACGAATTTCTCTTACAAACTCTATCCAGAGTACAGCAATTGCTAGAAAAAGAGGGAGTGCGGAGTACGGTTTAGCAAAAGCATTTGCAAAAGCATATGCAAAATTAAGTATATTGATTTAATTAAATATCCTAAGAATAACTTGTCAAAAAATATTCATACGAATACTTACTTTAGTGAGGAAAAATATCCCAACAAACAAAACCAAACAGATACCTCGTATATTGCAATCTCCAAACCAAAGAGCATGAAGACAGAACTGTGCAAAAAGAGATTGAAGAGGGGCGCCTTTGATGGCCCGAGAACTCTTAGGCTCACTTTCAGGGAAACGGAGTTCCACCCCTTCAGCTAATTAACACATAAGAACATAGAGAAAATGAGAAGCAAAACGTCTTCATTTAGATTAGGACAATAAAGTTCTAGAATTCAAAAAGATACAAGTATACAATAAAATATGTAGATGGGCAATGGTTACAAAACCCTTTTTCAGTAAGTACCATCATCGCTTAGGTACAATATAAAAAACTACAGTCTATAATAGGCAATGTAAACTGAGAATTCAACTTACTAAATCAAATTATGTGCGATCAATTAAAGGTTAATGACAAACGATCAATTTAAGTTTTCAGTGCGCATCGGGTCATTGCTCTAAGTATGAAAAAAATGTAGATTCATTCCAAGCTTGTCCACTAAGAAAAAGTGTCCAATTTACTCCTTTTCAAAGCTACTAACCCAAAGCAACCAACCACCTTCTGTAAAGATAACAGTGCATAATTAAGATTGAATGCTTCTGTACCATTATCAAAGAGATCTTTAAGCACACGAGCAAGAACTGTTGGTGGAGGTATGACTGCAGTAGACTTTATGCCTTCAGATCCAGAACTCTCAACTGCCAGAGAAGCAAGTCAAAGATCAAACTTGTCAAAAATGTTAACTCATGTATTTTCTATTTAACATCCCCATCGGTTGTAACTTCTGACTAAAATGCATGCAGATTCAATTAAGGATCAATTGACATTAAAAATTTGAAATCCTAATGTTTCTGATTCACATATTTTCAAACCTGAAACAAAATCCTCCATGAATTGAGCCTGAAAAGACTTAGCCAAAGCATCAACTAAAAGATGCAATTGCGATGAAAATCCAATGATTTTCCCATTATCAGTGCTGTATGAAGTAGAAACTTAAATTACATCAGATTCCAAAATAAGTATGCAAAGTTCAATTGACAAACATCAGAATTAATTATCAACAGATAATACGAGATTGTGGGACAATACTAATATGAATATCATAACATCTAATATTCCTGAGCATAACGACTTTGAAACTAAAATAAGAACCAAGCAAACAAAACTAGCATGAATCAAGAGTGGGTGACTTGTTCTCCAGATATAGCTTTAACTGAGTAACAAACAGATAGTCAAATATGTTAGGTAAATGGTAAGCAGACCACAAAAATGTATTGCCTCATATCTAAGCAATCAAATATAGTGACTAGCAAGGAGACCACAAAAATGCATTGTCTCGGATAATTGCATCCTACTTGAAAACTTTAATTATAGGATATCTTCATTTTATATTTTAGCATATTTCAGCAGTTCTATTGCAAATTTCAATATAGAAGTTTTTTTGGTTCCATGGGGATAGACAATATCACAATAATTTGCAAAACTGTATGAAGAGAATTTCTTACATAGCTTCAGATAAATTTGGAGATATCAACCACTTCTCAGCTTCAAAGGGTGAAGCATTTTCCAATACCGCCATATCTGCAGAGCTTCCAATGATTGTCTCAGACCATATGGCAAACAATTCAAATCCTGCAACAAGTAACTCAGAGAATAAGTGTGCTGCACCTCCAAAGGAATATAGGATATGTTAATATATTATGATCCAATAGTTGCTAGTGCAGACTTTCTCATATACTTCTATTTTTTCTTTGAAGGTGTACACTGTTGCAACAAGATGAATTAAAGGGTAATTAAAAGGTATGACTCCATGCCCAGATTAGTAAGGTTAACACACTAAAAATTTCATATATCAGGATTCAAAAACCATGTGATTTAGTTAACCCGATAGCCGCAAATTAAAATTCACATGTTCGAGTGTACGATGATAGTCCATATCTGTAGGCCACCATAAACATCAAAAGGAAGCTTCAAGAAATGTTTTCACTTATAAATCATTGTGACAAGACAAAAAATGCTCGAAGATGGGTCATAAAACATGGTCAACGTACAGATGAAAATATCTGAGGTGAATTTACCCTTTATTGGGTCCTCAGCTGTGTACCACTCACTCCAAGGGCAGTCATCATCCCAATGTGTTTTGTTATGTCTGTAGCTTTTGGGACTCTCGTCAGGTTCCTGTATTTCAGCATCCGTTTCTTGGGTATCATTATCAACATCATCATCATCATCGCAAGGAAGCGATTTGTAGGTCAGCTTCATCTTGAGGTTCACTTTGAATAGATGCACTGACAAGTCCATATTGAAGGCCTTGAGCATGAAATTTAAGAGCAACACACAAATCGTGATACATGTCAGAGTGAATATAGGGATAAATTAGAGGAAACACATAATGCATGCATAAAATCATGCTGTTTTATATTTTTTTTTAACAGACCAGCAACTGAGACTCCTTGGCCAAAGAAATTTCAGGCTCGGCTGAAACATAGGCCCAATATAGTTGAGTATTTTTAGATACCATATACACAGAGTACACTATATCCACTTGCAAATGCATCATAAACATATCCATATGCATCATTGTTTATTTGTATGTTTTCATTGATTATTTAATAAAATAAAATATTTGTGTCACCATTTGTTTTGTAAAACTTTTGCCGTAGTTTTTTAATATTCAATTTTTGTTTTTTGTTTTTTAATACCAAATTTTAAATGAAATGATTTCAGAAACACGGGGTTTTACTTCGTAATGCAAAAATTGTAATCTCATTTGGAATAGAGGAAGTATTAATCTTAATTGAAGGGAAAAATTAACATAAATAGTCCAACGTTATCTTAGACTCTCGGTCAAACAAAAATAATCTTACATTGCACTTTATACACTAAAATAATTACATGTGTTGTGTGACTTGTGTCTCACAAAAAAGACCCAAGAAAAGTTATTATGGAGCATTTTTATTTCAAAAATAATAATTAAACCACAACATTATTAAAAGAAAAAAATCACTCAAATAAATGTACAAGAATCCAAATTCAGATAAAAGAATTTTATCTTTGTCCGTGTTTGAGGGGTAGCATATTACAAATTTGGATGTACGTTGTTATTGTATATTTTTCATATGTACATTTTTTAAGTTAAGCAGTGGACATTTCATACTGTTATTTTTCTACACGCTTTGAGCATGTAAATTGTTATAGTGTATTTGACAATATTAATTTCATTGCTAAACAACTTTTAATTCTGTTGCTAAATGAGCAAAAAAAGTAAATAGCACCACATCGGCACATTCTAATACCATAGAAAATTAACATTATTAGTTCTAATGTAAAAAAGGTACAGTGTGAGGTTAATTTTGTTTAATTGAGCAAACGTTAGATTACTTAAGTCAATTTTTCTAATTAAGAATAGCACTTATAAGAAACTGGTAATTTCTTTTAATTATTCTACTTTTAAATTCTATGTAACATGGAGAACAAAGGAAATATCTTTTTATATAAATTGTGACATTACTTCAAAAAAATTTATTATTTTATTGGCATTGATTGTGATGATGATGATAATACTACTACTACTAATACTAATAATAATAATAATAATAATAATAATAATAATAATAATTGTTATAAGAATATGAAAAATACACTTAAATAATTTTTTAAAGTCATTGTTAGAAGAAATTAAGAGTTGGAAGAAATTGGAAGGAATGGAAACTGGAAGAAGTTGGGAATATTGAAAAGAGTTAGAAACACATTGAAAGGGGTTGGAAAAAGTTGGAAATTAAGAGTTAAAACCCAAAAGAAGAGACTCTATGAGGTATATGGTTAAAGTAACATAGCGGAGAGCACTAAAGATGTGACCATTCAAGACCATCCTTAGAACAACAAAACCCAGTATAATTTCATATATGTTGGAGTTTTGGTCAAGATGTGCTCATCCCTGTTTTTGCAGAGGCTAGGTTGTTTTTGGTAGACCTATGATGCATTGCTGCATTCACTACCCAAGACTTCACAGAAAGTAAGAAGCAAAGGAAAATTAACTGCCAGCTTCAAAGAACCCCAAAATTTCAAAGTATAAAGTTCTTGTCATTAATGAATGAAATCAAGAATAGTTGTAAAAGGCCATAGCAAAAAAAATCCGCACAAGATAAAAACGAATAGATAAACTAAGCATTGGCAAACCAATGTTGAAATTATGAATGGAGGGGGCTACGTACAAATTTAGAGACAAATAGCTCATATAGTCCCTCCAAGTGCATAAGCCTCACAGGAACCTGACTACCAATACGATCAGCCTCGAATCTTCTTGTGAAAAGTGTACCCATATTCTGAATCCCAATGTAAGCTTTACGAGATGGATCATGAACTGGAACAAAAGCAGGCCACAGACTGCAATGTGCAGGCGAAAATAATTGTTTGCTTTACGAAATCTCAAATACTCGTAAAATGTACATAAACTGGAGATAAGACAGAAGTTAGACTTTATACGCCTTATGACCCGACCCCCCTTCTTAAGAACATCAAGTCATTTTACAGTGACCAACCTGAAACAGTTGGATAATGCAATAGCAACTGCACTTAATAGCTTGGTGGCCTCTGGTCTATCAAGAAGTACACCACTTGCACTGAGTGGAGCAATCACCTAAGAGATAGAAAATACCATTGTCTCCTTGAGTTCAAGAAATTACATGCCCCAGAAGAGTGCATGAATATTAATGAGCAAAGTTAAGATAGAGATAGTGAGATACCAGAAAGTCTTTCACCCCAAAAGAGAGCTGTAAATCGTGCAACGCATGAGTCCAATCACTTGTTTTTCCTGGATCAAATTGGATTTAGAAAAGAAAGAACGAAAATCTTTTGAGCTGGACAGAGTAATTGAATGCATAGCATACCATCATTATTTGTTTCAAAATAGTACTCCATCAGATAGCTTTTAGTAGCATACTTAAGTTCAGATTTGACTTTATAAAGTCCTTCAAAGGCATCCAAGCGAACAGCATCCTTCTTCTTTTAAATTGTAAAAAAACCAAACACGTAAAAGTGGTAAATTACACTGGTAATAGTAATGCAAATTTGTTTTCCTTGTCTAAGAAATGCAATTTTAGATTTAAACAATCGTAATATGAGTCTTCTAATGGAACATGACTATAACAACCATCTTAACTCATTGACATCTCATTATATTTTCATGGAAGTCAAAATAACCTATGATACTGATGGTTTTGAATTTCATCTAATAGTTCTTTCGTAAGATTGTTGGTCTTGCAATAGGAAGGTACTCTGACATAAAACATTGCCACTAACATTGCTAAGTTTAAAAATTTTAATGCATTATTTTGGTGCTACCTGTTAACTGTTAACTAAATTAATTAACACTATAACTTCCAGCCACTGGCCCCAACAGTAGTTGGGATCAAGATGCTAGTGATGATGATGACCAAGTGCAACTTTGGAGTTAAGTCATTCAACATTTGAAACGCAAGGTATATGAATAGGTTATTTCAAAATACTACCAAAAAAAACGGATACATTGTTAAATCTTCTTATGTTTTGCAAATGCAGGGTGGCTATTACTTCCAATATGAGTGACCCTTTCCTAAATACAAAGCATTAATGTTAATTATACATGGAATAAATTGATACTGTGTGTGAACACAAAATATGGTAAATTTTACACCTGTCCTACACATGAAACTGCTTTCACAACAATTCTTATGTCCGTTTTATTAGAAAAAATCTTGGACGCAGTTTCGGGGTGTGCTCCACTGGGAGTCTGGGTAATGGAAAAGTACCATGTGTCCAAATCTTAGTGCTATGCATAGACAAATAAACTTTGACTAGAGACTCCAAAAGAAAGTGAAAAGCACTGTGCTAAGAAGAAGCTTGGAACTTATCCCAAACTCTAACAAAACATAACATGAGAAAAGGAAATTCAAAATGGTATTCAAAATTAAGGGACAAAGAAAGAATTGTGGAGTGTGGACTACTTCATATCATATATAAACCATATCACGGTTGTAGTTGATGCCAATGCGTTAGCTGCAACAGATGCCATGATTCTAAAGGAAATCAAATTGCAGAGTAATGCGGAGTATATTACTACTATCATCTATTTACATTTTAAATGTTTGTAGAGTTCACCTACTGATCTACATATGTATGGATCAGCATGACAATACTTCAAAAACCAAGCCGCATAGAAGGGTATATCACCGTAGAGGTGTAGACAAACCAATCTTACCAATAAATTACTAGGGCCATCTGCCAGCCATTGCCTGCAAACTGCCTCTATCTCAGATATGAACCTACATAAAAGTAAAGTTGGATTCTTTAACTCCTGCATCCTACCACCACAATTCGAATAATCTCACTCTGCACTCATAATAGATCAGTAAAAACATTAAATAACCATAGTACCTTTCCCATGAAGATGCCAAAGTGAAATCGTCAAAATGTTCGAACTGCAAAATTAATTGGTAAAAGTTCAAGGCCTATCATGATCAACATACTCTATATATGGAGCAATTGTTTTTCTTACGCATTTACCACATATGAAACTGAAGTTCAAATTCCAGAAAGAAAAAAATCGAAAATAAAAATGGTGGTGAGTGAATGATTCTGTACCTCCTCGTCCTCTGGAACCGTCGATCTTCTGCTTGTTGATGCCATGGAAATGTAGCGGAACTCAAACTGATATCAGACAATTTTCAATCTACTTTTTCATTTCTATGAAATCAGATCGTAGGGCTCATCGTAGAACTAAAAAAATAACATGTCGGCAGAATCAAAATGCTTGTTTCGATCTACAGATGTAACCGGCGGCGGGCTCCTGCGAAAGGAAAAAGTAAAGCGTCGGTATTGGCATGGATGGCCGGGCATTAGCTGTTCGCCGAGCTCCGTCGACGGTGCTCCGTCTTTAATGGGGAAAAAAACTGGCAAGTACGTAAAAGAACCTTCTGAACGAAGGTCGAAAGAGATAAAAAGAAAAGGAAACGTGAGTGGCAGGATTCGAACCTGCGCGGGCAGAGCCCACATGATTTCTAGTCATGCCCGATAACCACTCCGGCACGCTCACTGGCTTGTCAATGCTTTGCAAACAATGTATAAGATTCTTAACGACAAGTACCCAAAGCCTTAGTTTTTTTTATTTTTTACTTTTTCTTGTTGTGTAATCGTGGTGATGGATGATACGGTCCTCGTGACTATTAACCCATAGCTACGGCCAGGTCCAGGAAGGCTGAGCCCAAAGAAAGCCCAAGGAGGACCAAGGAGACCCACTATGAAAATCGTCATGAATGTTTTGATCGGCCGCTTTGAGTACCTGCAATCATCTCTCTAGCAATATGTCAATTCGCTTCTTTGGCCAGTTATAATATGGTTATTAAAGGCTTATACTTTCCTATTTTTGAGAGCATCTAGATGTAACAACAATTACTCCCTCCGTCCTAAAATTAATTTTCCAGTTTGACTTTTAGAGTCAAACTTTTTAAACTTTGACCGTATATTACAGAAAAAATATATTGAATTTTCATATAAATTTATTAGCAATAGATTCATTTTGAAACATAGTTTTGAAATATATAATTTTTATAAAATATATTTATATCAAAATTGAGATATTGATGGTCAAAGTGTCACATTGGAGATCGTGAAAAGTCAAATGGGAATTTAATTTTAGGACGGAGGGAGTAATATTCATTTTCTTGTGGCTAGAGCACGCATTCCTCAAGAATATGGTGTGATCCTTTTATATCATCTGCATATATTTGACCCATGTCATTCTTCTACCAAGTAAATGAGAATGACGGGTCAGAAAGTGTTTTATCTAATTCCTATTGGACACTGTTTGACAAATATCTATTGTGTGAACATAAGTCATATCAGTATCTCTATATGACAGATTAATACCCTTGGAATTAAAATATTGGCACGCCACTGCAGTGTCATTGAGATTTTGAGGCACATACGATGCTTCATTCATAAAATCGAAACTCTTACCCCCAACCATGGCCAAGCTCACCCTGAGATTTTGAGGCATATACGATTCATTCACTTTTGATTCTCTATTGATAAAGATCTTTCACAATCATCGTGCAATAGCTAAATGAGTTAACAAACTAATGTTCTTATGTTACTTTATTTAGTGATATCGACTCGATTACAATGTATTATCCATTCTTACTTTTTTAATCCAATGATGTACAAAGATCAGAGTCAATGTCTTCAATCCGCGAGACTAAGTTCTCCTATGTTAATATTTTTTATGATACGAAGTCAACTTTTTTTTTGTTTTTATAGTGATGGACTCTCTTTATTATAAATTAAAAAATTGGAAAATTCTATGTTGGATCTAAATTCTACCATAAACTTATATATGAGCAAAATAATCATTTTTTATTACTTAAATAAGTATTTATTTTTTTAAATAAAAAAAATTATGTGAGGTCTACAAAAATAATATACATCTAAAATGCACCAAAGAATAATCTAAAAAGTAAGAACTTCAAAAACTTTAGAGTAGAAATCCTAGATTTAAATATAAAGAATTTGAATTTAAAAAAGTAAGAAAAAAAACTCAAGAAAAGGGCCATAAATGGGGGTGTTTAAATAAAGTTTCTTTAATTTTCGCTGGATTTTCCTTTTATTTTGTCTTCCTCTCTCACTCATAAATGTGGAAGGATAAGAAAGAAACAAAAAATCTGACATCTCGCACAATTCACGCCTGTTTTTTTAACTGTCTTCTCCCTTCTTCGCCGTTCATTTTCTGCAAAAGAATTCATCTTTCTGCAAAAAGAAGATCGAAACCCCCCTCTGAAATTTCTTCTTCTTTCTTCTTCTTCTTCATTTCCTTGCTAAATCTGGGTCTTTGATTTCTTGAACCCATGTGGCTATCTCGAACCAATTCAAAGACCCGGATTCCCAGAAACCCCTCCTCCTCCTCCGATTTCTCCTGCTCCTCCTTCAAAGACATTCTCAGCCTCTGCGCCGACGAGCCCACTTCCGGCAACCAGACCCGATTCAAGAAGTCCAACATCTTCCACCGCGTTCTCCGGGCCAACGCCGTCCTCCGCGCCCTCTCGGGTCACCTTCCGCCCAAACCCGGACCCGACCCGTATGTCCCCCTCGACCCGCCGGAGAGGGCGAGTCCGATCTGTCTCCCCGGATCCGAGAAGAGAATCGTCGTCTACATCACCAGCCTCCGCGTGGTCCGCCGGACGTTCGAGGACTGCAAGGATGTCCTAGCCATTCTCCGGAGCTTCCGGGTCTCGATCGACGAGAGGGATCTCTCGATGGACCCCAGATTCATGGACGAGCTGAAGGCGATCCTCGGAGTCCGGGACAAGAGGAAACTGACACTGCCGCGGGTTTTCATCGGCGGGAGGTACATCGGCGGCGCGGACGAGATCCGGCAGCTCCACGAGGCCGGCGAACTGAAAAAGTACGCCGAAGGGCTCCCTCCGGCGAACCCAGCCACCTGCGAGGTCTGCTACGGCCACAGATTCACCCTCTGCCCGGATTGTAACGGGAGCCGGAAGTATTACAGCGAAAAAAGTGGGTTTCGGATCTGCACGGCCTGCAACGAAAACGGCCTCATCAGGTGCTCTTCTTGTTCCGGCTGAGCAAAAACATCTTTAGATTATGATAATAACTAGCAGATGAAAGAAAAGAAAAGAAAATTTACACAATTTTTTCGGGGTTTTTGCAACTTCAAAGATTGAATCTTTAGCCAATCTTGCTGGTTCATTGAGGGCTTCTCATCACTGTTATCATTTGTATGGGAGAAAGAAAATGGCATTTTGACTTAGATGAAAAAAACTTCATTTTCAGTTCTCTCTTAACAATTACTAACACATTTCTGTAAACTAGTGAGTGAAAACCTGAGATATGATGACCATGGCACTCACCATTTTTTGTTTATGGTTGTTCTAAGAAGGTGTTTGGCAGTGCGCATTTTTTTAAAAATTTAGCTTTTGTTTTGACATGACAGCTCTTGCTTTTCTCCATCATTATTTTATACATTGAATACTGTTTCGAAAAAGCAATTATGAAGTGTTTATGCTTTCATCTTTTGTGAAAATCACTTGTGAACACCCTCTAAAGTCTAACCATCTTAACCACCTTTCATCTCCATGTTAACCATCTTTCATCTCCATTCATCTCCAAGGATGAATCGCATCTCTCAGCTTCCAGAATCGATCAGACAGTCACCAATAATTGTTTTCATTTATCTAAGCTATATGTTCTCATTTATCAATTGAAAAATGTTGGGGTTGTGGTGATGTTGAAGTTGAATATAAAAAGAGTATAATTTGAACAAAAGAAGTTATTTGTCATCACATTCATTGTTTTTTTATATGATGAACAAGTAACACAGACAAGTTTGGTTGTGTTAGAATTAGTTGAACCAATAATTGAATTTAAAATGTTGGATATACTCCAACAAGGCAGCTTCATGAATGGAGGAGGAATTGAAGACCTATTACATATACGGAGTTATCATTTATATTAGGGATGAGCAATTTAACCGACCATTGAACTGATATTCCAGAATCGAGCTGACCAAAATTTCGGCTTCAGTTTTCATGTTTCAAAACTTTTCGGTTTCGTTGGTTTTTCGGTTTCGAATTGGTTCTTTGTGTTCGTGACAGAAACCGATCGAATAACTGAACTCAAAATGGTTATATTAAATTAAATTATACTCCGTAACTCTATTACTCCGTATATGCATGTTATCCAAGTATTCAACATAGAGTCCCCAAAATGTCCAAATATGTTGCAGTGGCAGTGGCCAGTAGTTTGGACACTTTTTTTTAATTCAAGAAATACTAAAGTGGCAGTAACTTGGACAATTTTTCAATTCATGTGAAATACTGGGTACTAAAATTAGTAGGGAGTAATTACGGAGTAATTTGATTAGATAAATTCTTGTTTTTGAAAACTGACCATAACCTTTCAATTACATCTATTTTCGCTTTTTAAACTTTCTCCAAACTCAGGTTGATTTGGGTCGGTTTTCAAGACCCAAAATAAAGTCCAGTTATTTCGGTTCGAACCGATCCAATGCTCACCCCTATCATTTATACATTTATTACATTAAAAAGCTCTTCTTCTTCTTTTTTTTTTTAATAAAGAAAAGCACCAAAGAAGGTTGTTGCAATGTAAGCATTCCCTAGGTCTAGAACTTCAAGAGAACTCATTTAGCTATAGACATTTCATCCCAACTTTACATTTGGTGACCAAGGATGACAATGCATTACTACTAGTACTATATGGATAATGCATCAACATCCCTCCCTCGAAACAGAGGGGCAGCCCCAGCAGCAAAAGGACTATGACCCAAGTTTTGATCATATCCACTGTCATGCAATGTTCCATTGTCTTGAGCAAAGCCTGCCACAAGAAAAAGGATCAACAATTTACTTTTAGCATACAAGAGTTGAACTTTGTAGAAGAGAGTATCTGAAACAGTCAATGGTGTATATATCTAATTGGGGAAAGAAAGCTGCTTCGATACATATACAATGGTGTTTATGGTATACAACAATAATAACAACAAACCCAGTAAAATGACCTAAAATCCCACAAGTATGGTCTAAGAACGGTGTGTACACACATAGTGTATAACTCTATATGCATACCTTACCCCTACTCGAAAGTAGAGAGGTTGTTTCCAAGAGATCTCGGTGTCAAACACAGACGCAACGACAAAATAAACAGACAAAGTAAACACGGTAGCACGAACAAAACAAAGAGCATGGATACATGAAGCCCACAAACCAACACTAGCAATTATACCCAATATATGTGTATGTATATTGTGCGAAGAAAATAATATGAGTGGGGCAAGAGTGGGGATAGCATAGCATTCCTCGTATATATGGAGTATTAGATAGTACTTGGTATAAGTGCAGCAGCTGCTGCTGCCATTGCTCTCTTCTCCGCATCTACAAGTTCAACCTTTAGCCTCTCGATTTCAGCACTCAAGGAACTCATATGCTTCTCCATTGTCAGACTTTGTTCAAGGTTTGCAGCTTTCGTTTTCCTTTCATGCTCAATAGCATCCCTGTCCATTTCCACATAAGCCCAAGAATGCAGTTAATTGACTAAAGACAACAACACTAGAGCATGAACAGCTTTGAGTTTCAAACATAAAATAGGCACAAAGTGTCACTGCTTAATGTAACCAATGGTTTCTTGCCGTCACAAACAGAGCGAAAACCGGTTAATGATGTCCAAAATCTCTCTGAGTCACTCTCAGGCACATACACTTAGGGTGTGTTTGTTTGAGGTGAAATTGAAAGGAAGGAAGTTAGTCCAACTTTTCTTGTTTGGTTGGGAGGAAATAAAGGGTGAAAAAGATTAAATAATGTCAAGATTTTCAAGTACTACCATTTTATTTCATTCTTATTCCTAAACAAACAGAGGTAAGCTCAACTTTCCTTTCAATTTCCCTTCATCCAAACAACACATTAGATGCAGCCAGAAAGGTCACAATGAACAAATCAGACACTGAGATTCGAGACAATTAATCTACTGATACACCATTTGTATTGCATGAACAAAATATCAATTATACTGTTTTGAATGTGTGTGTGAAACTGTGCTAATATCAATACCTTCCTCTTTGGAGCTCCTTGTTGATATTCTCAATTTCAGCTTTGACTACCATAACCTGAGTCAAATCTGAAAGAACACTCATGAGCTCATCTTCAATCTCATTCATATGAGCCACAAGCTCTCTGTGACAGTATCTCATTTTCTCGAGATCGGCTTTAACCACCGCCAGTTCGGAGTGGATCTTGTGGGCTGCAGTGGCCTCCTCGGCCTCCGTTCTACGTAACTTCTCACAAGCCTCGCGGATCCACTCATCCCTGGCAGCCTTGACGGCGGAGGCGGTAGCAGAATGGTGTAGAAGCTCCCGCTGAGCGGCGGAGAGCTTCATCTTTAGACATAAATGCGAGGCGGCGAGATCCTGTTTGTTCAGTAGAAGCATTTCGATTTCGCGGCGCTGGTAAGCGATGAGGCCCTCGATTACGACCTCCGTCGGGAATTCTGGTTGCGCCGGGAAGCGGTTGGTGTTCCGATGATCGTCGAGTTTCAGTGCGCTTGGTGGTATATAGTTCCAACCCGCCATGATTTTGGACGGAGAGCTGCCTTTCGGGATAAATGTGAAGACTGAGGAGTAGCAAATTGGATTTGGGAATTCGGGTTTTAATTGAATTTGGCCATTTCCATTCAAAATTTGAAATGAAAAATGAATTAAACTATTTATACATCATCCCGCTGAGCGGCGGAGAGCTGCGTTTCAGGATAAATGTGAGGACTGAGGAGTGGCAAATTGGATTTGGGAATTCGGGTTTTAAGTTTTAACAACACAACTAAAATCATTTTAAAAAAATGAATTTAAAAAGATATTCAATAAAAATTAATTTCAAATGGTAAAAAATAAAAATATATGGAGGGATAGATTCTACTGTAAGGGTCCGTTTGGTATACAGAATTAAAGGAATTGAAATTGAAATTGAAATTGAAATTCCATGAGATTCAATTCCATAGAATTGAATTCAGCAATTCTAATTCATTTTTGTACTATCAATTTCAAATCTACATAAGTTTTTTGCTACCAAATAACAGAATTGGAATTGAAGTCCTCAATTCCAATTCCATACTTTGAATTCCATGTACCAAATGGGGCCTAACATTTTTTGGGCATTATACAAGGCATTACTCTTCTTGTTGGTAAAAAATAAGAAATACGAAGTACAAAGTTATTTTCATGTTAAAACCCGAAAGAAATACAAATTTATTTTTCTTATTAAAAATGATTGAAACAAAATTATCTTGAATTGAGAAAAAAAAGTTCCTGTTTTTATTTTTATTTTACCAACAAAAAGAAGTAATACATTAATACTCTGTCTAGCTTGAGGTTATTTTTTACTGATTATGGAATATCTTTTAATTTCATTATTTTTTTATAGTTTTTGTTGCCTTTCTCATTTTGGTTATTTTTTTATATTTTATCTTGAAGTAAGACTAATCTTTGAAAATAAATGGTGGATATAGAAAGTTATTATAAAAATTTAAGGGAAAATTAGAAAAGAAAGTTTATACACAAAAATAAAGATATGGTTTGTTTTAATGCGCAAAATAGATCATTTCTGTTAACATGCAGTTAGTACGTAGCTTAACAACGGCCAAAAATGTGCACATTTTAATAAAGTGAAATTATTATACGTATTAGTGAAATGTGAAATTATTTTCAAACATCGGGTATATATGATATTATTCTATATAATTTTTCTTGATTATATGAATAATTAAAATACTCCATATAATTTTAGTAATTTGTATGTTATACGAAAATTGAGATTGGAACAAACAATATTATGCATTGTCTTTGTCACGAGTTGAACTCAAATATTAAAAATACTTGGGTGCAACAAGTTCTACCTCAACACCTCTTTATCAGACTTTCAAGTGGAAATGAAAAATTAATAAATGAATAAGGAATATGTCGTTGATAGAGGGTTGGAGTACGACATGATGTACTTCTAGCATTAGTATTCCTTCATTACTATTGTTATGGACTCGAGAGTCGAGGACACCAGTATCCGTAGGAGTGAACGGGTGCGGCGTGCACCGGGGTGGCAGCGAGACTTCGAGATGGATTAGTTTATTTTATTTAATTATTCATTAATGTATTTAGGTTTTTGTTAGGTGAGCGAATTATAAGCTCCTTCGAGGGTTTCTTTACGGTTCTTTACCTCGTCGCTTTTCTTGAACCGTCAGGATAGATAACGTAGATTAAACTAGGGTTTACTAGGGTTGGGACGCCTCCTCATTATAAAAGGAGAGGGACCAATATTACTTTAAGGAAGGAATAAAAATACAAAACCCTAAACCCTCTCGTCTCTTGCTCGGCTTCCGGCCGCGGCGTTCTTCTCTCTTCCCGTATCCCCCGTTCTCAAGCTCGGAGGCGCTTTAAGCCTCCCTTATCTGATACGTTTCGTATCACTGGTGCTTTCATTGAGTTCCATGGAGTCCGCCACAGTTACTTCCGCTCGTTTCCAGGAATTCCAAGAACAAATTGATGGGCAGATCGCGTCTCAAACTTCGGCCATGCAAACCCTCAACCAGGCCGTTGACAAAATCCAGCGTCAACTGGAAGTGGTGTTGGCTTGTGACGATAAGCGGCCATCTTCTTCGGGCGAACCAATCTCTCATCGCGGTGAGCCTACCATGGCCAAGCTCAAATTAGACATGCCCAAGTCCGATGGCAGTGATCCCTTGGGTTGGTTATTCAAGGTCCATGAGTATTTTGTTTTTTACGGCATCGCAGAAGATGCTCGTCTC